ATAATAAGTTCAGCCAGGGCTCCATTAAAAAGTCGCACTGTACAACTATGCTGACAGAGCACTTTTTACTCTTTGTGTCAGACATGATATTGTTGTGTCCATTGTTCTGGTTGGGTTGCTTGCTTTTTGTTTTTTGGAGGACCATGTCCACTAGAGCACCTCACCAGCCCGTAAATTCTGCCTGTGCTAAAGTATGTCACTTTGCTTCTTGGCTCACTGAGACCTGGATAACTAGGCCTATAAAGATGCTGCCTTTGTTCACATTCAAACTGAACTTACATCTGCTGTGGGGGGTTTATGAGTTGGTGAAAAGCTAATGAAATTATATTTACAAAATTACAATAAACTATTTATTAAAATAAAAACACTAAGTTTACGTTTACCTGCATGTCATGTGACCGTTGATTGATATAAGAGAACCGTGAATGTGAATATGATGTTACATTTTTGAAATATTAACTTTAAATCGAAGGGAGACTTCAGATAAATATGTTAGGTTAAAGGGGTTCGGCGGAACCCTCTTGATTACAGTCCAATGCTACTACTTCTTGACTTTTAATTTAGGCTCAAGAATTTATTTATTTTTACATTTTTGCTTTTGTCCCATTGACTTGTGTCACATGTCTGCCCTACAATGCAGCCAAATCAGCCACGCTCCAATCATTTAACACGTTGCCTTTATAGGTCCAGAAACCTAAAGTGATGATCCAGCCAGTATTTTATCACAAATACAATAAACATTATACAGTACAATACTTACATTACTTTATTATATCAGACGAACAATTTAGATTTAAATATCTGAAAGGTTTGAAATAACATGTTAGGCTACCTGACTTGTTTAGCCATCACTCAGATTATTGCTGATATGTTTAGTAATTTAATTCAATTAGATTACACAAACAAGGTAATCTGGTGACTATTTATGTATAATATTCTCGTTACACGTTTTGTTGTAGCACGTGGATTCAGTTACTACACAACTGCGTGATGAAGACGGTCAACTATGTCCGTGTTCTACTTGCTCGATTTTAAATAGCATACTGATATCCTTTATTAGTCTGACTCTTATTTTTTCAGTTAATTTTTTTTTTAAATTATTATTACTATTATTATTTATTAGTTTTTTCTGTCAATCTAATTATGTACCAAAACAAACCTTGCGACTTTAGAACTAAATGTTACATAATTTGCATTGTAATTATATGTTATTAGTAATGACATGCACCGCCCACGAACTTTCATTGGATAATAAACAAGTAATTATAATTCTGGAGAAAATTATTGGCCAAGACCGCTGATCAATAATTAATGAGAAGAAGAAAAACACACATGACTCATTTTCTAAACATATTTAAACGTAACATTTAAACGGTGCACAGTGACAGATTGTCAGTACTTGCTCGTTTTTAAATAGCATACTGATATCCTTTATTAGTCTGACTCTTATTTTTTCAGTTAATTTTTTTTTAAAATTATTATTACTATTATTATTTATTAGTTTTTTCTGTCAATCTAATTATGTACCAAAACAAACCTTGCGACTTTAGAACTAAATGTTACATAATTTGCATTGTAATTATATTTTATTAGTAATGACATGCACCGCCCACGAACTTTCATTGGATAATAAAACAAGTGATTATAATTCTGGAGAAAATTATTGGCCAAGACCGCTGATCAATAATTAATGAGAAGAAGAAAAACACACATGACTCATTTTCTAAACATATTTAAACGTAACATTTAAACGGTGCACAGTGACAGATTGTCAGACGTTGGTGTACTCTATTATCAGTTTAGCGTGTTATTGTGATAGCAGTAATATGTAGCGATACTTGTTTATCTCGACGAGGCAGGTTTTAACCTAGTGGCGAGCGGCGTAACAGTCTGAATGTGTTAGTGCTGTATCAGCTTACAATTGTTCCCCCCAAAACCGATTCGTTTTATAGTTGTTTTAGCTTGATTTTAAAAACTGCTGCCCCAGAGATGGCATCAGCAGCGACGACGGATCCGGGTTTTAATCCCGGAGCCATAGGGTTACCAGAGTCTGTGGTCCCCGCTAGCATGTTTGCTCCAGCGCGGGGATGCGGCGAGGACGACGGGGCGGAGTGCTTCGAGGACGGGGAGATGTTCAACGGCGAGGCCGTGGATCTCGGCATTGACTTCTCCAGCAAGGTAACTTAGGCCTCAAACAGAGTCAGCCTAGTCGTAGTAAATGAATGCGTTTACAAAAATTATATTATTAGTAATGTGACTACTCGTTGGAATTTTGAACTGGCAGTTATAATCATGTTATTTGATTTTCTTTACTGTTTGAGATTTTCACTGTTTTACGAGCTGACCACTGAGTGTTTGCATCTAACCTAAGCTAACCCGGCTATCTTTAGCGATTTTTTTTTAAAACAAATTTCTTATCATCTGTATCATATGCACCTGTCGTAGTGCAATATTAAAATATGGCTTTCTGATTTATCCATCTGTGTGGGGGTTTAGCTGTAAAGCAAGCTGATTATAGACTGCAAATCTGCATTAATTCCAATGAATGAAATATGGACAGTTTGTCAGTTGTGAAGAAATGACGACCTCACAACACAATACCTGATGAAATATCAGTGCAACACCGAGGGATTTCCCTTTAGAAGGAGGGAGACACGGAGGAGATAAATGGATCAGAGAATGAGGAAGTCCATTTTATGAGTCGATAACTTTTTTTTTGGTTTATGGTCCCAAAGTTTTAACACCATGTAAACAATGAACAACATTTTCCTTCCTTGAAATAAGTTAACTGAATTAAAATATAATATATATTTCAACTAGTTGCCAAGGCATAGTTTCTCATTTTCATTTGGTTTAACTTGATGTACTAAAATATCTAAAGCTAAAACTGAAGGTAAATAAATAAATAAACATTATAAAAGACTAATGGGTGGTTGACATATAAGCCTGAAAACATTTATTTTTTTTACTTCAAATATTAGGCATAAAAAATATTGAGCTGTGTTGTACTGACTCTTGAATTTCCCAAAAAATATGTGGTCTTTTAGATTTTGTATTGCCAGAACTTGCTTTAAAATCATGCACAGACATCAACACTTTCAGTGTCCATTAAAAATGCCTAATTCTGTTAATTCTGTTAACTGTAAATCTATCAATTATTTATACTTTGCTGAGATTCATTGTCATATTAGTAAGGTCACACATAGTCCGGACAGTCACACCATATGACAATTTTGATGTTTAGATAAAAATTTGAAGTAGAGGTCTTTATACAGCAGTAAAGCTATGGTATGCTGTAATAATATCTTGTCAGAGGAACAACATAAAGATATACATTTTTAACAAATACCCATTTTTATTAGTATATGACATCATGGACAGGTAGAACTGCATGTCATGTCATCCACCCTAATACAAATGACAAAAACATACAACAAAATGACTAAAAATGTAACTAAAATGAAAATAAAAATGGAAAAAATAAAAATTAAAACTACTTCAAAATACAAATAAATTATAATAGTATCACTTTGTTACTAAAATAATCAACCTGGCAAGATTACCTCTGAATATTGAACACTGTGAGCACAATAATAAGCTAGTATCTGTTTTAATAATAATAATAATAATAATTAATTACATTTATATAGCGCTTTTCTAGGCACTCAAAGCGCTTTACATTGC